AGAGGGCCCCAAGACGGCCCCAGAGTCGCCCAAGACAGCCCAACAGAGCCCCAAGACGCGCCCAAGAGGGGGACCACGACTCCAAAATTCGACCCTCCCGCTTGAAGAGTGCCCCAAGGAGCCCCCCCAAGAGGCCCCAGGAGGCCCCCAAGAGGCACCCAGGAGGCCCAAACGAGGCCTAAAGAGGCCACAAAACAGCCCCGAGGAGACCCCACAATGGTCCCAAAACGGCTACCGAGAAGCTGCGAAACTGCCTTCACGACGTCCCCGACAGGCCAACCACGAGATCCAAACCAACACCCATGAGACCTCTGACCCACCACCCAGGGCACTGTGGCGGGAGCACTGGCAGCACTTGTGCACAGTATGTTCCGGCGGGAGCCTTCCAGAACACGCTGCAGGAGGAGGAGGAAGATCAGGAGGAGAGAGAGCTGGAGTGGGAGGAGGAGGAGGAGGAGGAGGAGGAGGAGGAGGAGGAGGAGGAGGAGGAGGAGGAGGAGGAGACGAGGAGGAGGAAGAGGCCTCCAAGACAGCTCCAAGATAGCCGAAGGGGCTTCCAAGAGGGCCCTGGGCGGCCCACGAGGGCCCCAAGGCGGTGCCTGAGGCGCACAAGAAGGCCCGAGAGGGCCCCAAGACGGCCCCAAGAGAGGCCCAAGAAGGGAAACACGAACTGAGAATCCGAGCTTTCTACCCCGAGAGATTCTCGGGAAGTCCCAAGAGGTCCCCAATCGGATCCAAGAGGCCCCCAAGAAGCTCCCAAGAGGGCCGACGAGGTTCCAAGAGATCTCCCAAGGTGGCCCCAAGAGGCACAACTCATCGTTTTGCGATTGGGCTTTGACGGGTTTTAATTTTTTCGGCCTTTTGGCATCCTGATGCTCCAAGACGGCCCAAGAGGCTTCCAATACCGCTCCAATATAGAGGAAGAGGCCTCCAAGAGGGCCCCAAGACGGCCCGCGAGGGCCCCAAGACGGTGCCAATCCCTATACAGTCATGTGCAGTGCAGGGCGCGGGTCTCTCTTCATACATTGCGCGCCGCAGGGCAATGTGGAAAGATGGCTGCTGACAGGCACGCGTGCACTGGTGCGCTGAACTCTTTGTGGGGCACTATCCGCGTGAAGGGCCGCGCGAACACGCCCACTGAGGCCGCAGTTGGACCTCGTCCGGGCACGCCCTGTGCGAGGCATGCTCCGAAGTGGGCGCGGGGACGCCGTACGAAGTTGCCCATTGGTGCCACAGGTGGAGCCCCTGCGGCATGATTCGCGTGACAGGTCTGCCGACATGGGTTGGGAGGGCGTTATACGGGACTTGCCTCTGGGCCTTGAAGTGGTGCTCCTTGAGGGCACGACCCGCGTGATGAGGTGTGCCGCAATGGCCGGGGGGGGGCGCAGTGCGAACCCTGCCTCTGTGGCCGTGGGTGCAGATCCCTGAGGGCCACGATTCGCGTGAGAGGTGTGCCGAAATCGGCGGGATGGCGGGATGCGAATCTTGCCTCTGGGGCCGTCCGTGGAACTCCTTGCGGGCCACGATTCGGGTGAGAGGTGTGCCGAAGTGAGCGGGGCGATGCAATGAAGTTCCCTTCTAGTGCCGCGGTTGCAAGCACTTACGGGGCACGATCCGCGCGAGGGGCGTGCCACTGTTCGAACCTCGCCTCTGGGGACGTAGGTGGATCTCCCTGTGGGGCGCGATCCCTGTGATGGGGTTGGCCAGCATGGGCGAGGGGACCCATATGGAGCTTCCTGAGGTGCACGATCTGTGTGACAACATCTGCCCTACGACGCCGAACACTTTAGACTACAGCTGGTGCTTGTCAGAACCTAAGCGCGCGCGGAGCGCGCATGGTTCTAGTGTGTGTATAGTATACATATATACATACATATATATATATATACATATATACACACAAGACTGCAATGGATCTTCGCGCCATGCACCTTGGTCCCTGGTCCTTTTCCGGCATCGCCGCTATAATGATGTTATTCGTTACCTTTCCTCCATGCTTCTTTTTCCTTATGTTCGCCATACCCTGTGCATTCTCCCCATCCTCCTCAGCTCCTTTTTCGGAGGCTCCTCCTTGGAGAGCTTCTGGGGGCCTCACAAAAGTTGTTTCAGGCTTTCTTCAGGCCTTCTGGAGGCATCCTGGGCGTATTCTGGGGGCCTCTGGGGGCTTCCTCGGGCCACCCTGCCTCCAACCGCGGTCTCCCTGAACGACCGGGTCACGATTTGGAATGCTTCGGAGGGTGTCTTTGGGCCATCTAGGGCCGCCATGGGGCTCTCTGAGGACCATCCTGGACCCGTGTTGTGCCGTTTTGGGGCTCTCTTGGACTGCCTGGAAGCCCGTTCGGATAGTTGTGGGGGCGATTTTGGAGCCTCCCAGGCGGCTTCGGACGCCCAGAAGACCGCCGTCTTGGAGCGTCGGGAAGACGGAAAGAGGAGAACCCCACAATTCACCAAAAACCAACAGAAAATCAATGATTTTTGCCTCGAGGGGCCTTCTTGGGAGTGCTCTTGAAGGCCTCTTTGGGGCCCTCCTGGAGGCCTCTTGGGCCATCTTGAGTCACGTCGGTCACTCTTGGAGCGCTCTTGTGCTGACTTGGGGGTCTCTGGGACGTCTCCGATGACCCCCCTGATCGCCCTAGGTGTGCTGGGAAGGCTTGGCCCTGCGAGGCCCGGGAGCCGCTTCGAGGCCCGTCCGGAGGGTCCCAAAGCCCCAGATCCCGGGAGTCCGGTTTTGGGGTGGGGGGGGAGGTGACGGGTTTTCCCGCCGCCCGGGCTTGCAAAAATACAGGAAGAGGAATACATGTGTATCATATATAGATAGATAGATAGATAGATAGATAGATAGATAGATAGATAGATAGATAGATAGATAGATAGATAGATAGATATATTAATCCCGGGGTAACAAGGGAGAGGCCCTCGGAGCGTAGATCCAACCTCCTCTATGGGGGGACCGGGGGAGCCGGGGAGCCCAGAGGGTTCCAAGGTCGTTCAATAATTGTTCCCAAGCGGCCCCAGGGAGAGCCCAGAAGGGGAACCCGAACGGACATTTCGAGCTTTCCGCCCGAAAGTGTCCCCAAGAGACCCCCAGAAGCCTCCGATGCACCCCCAAGAGGCCCCAGAAGGTCCCCGAGAGGCCCCCAAGAAGCCCCCAGAGGACCTCGAAGGGAGCCCCAGGGGGCCAACATCATTGATTCTTTGTTGGTTTTGCACTATTTGGGCGTTCTCGCTTGTTCGGGCTTCCAAGCCTCCAAGACGGCCCAAGAGACCCCCAAGATTGCCCCAAGACTTCCCAGGAGGCTCCAAGAGACCCCCAAGACCGCCCAGAAAGGCCCCAAGATGGCCCAAGACGCCCCCAAGGCGGCCCCCAACAGGGTGCTCAGAGGGGGAACCCGAACAATCATGTCGAGCCTTCCGCCTCAAGATGGCCCCAAGAGCCTTCAGGGGTCTCCGATGCGCCCCCAAGAGGCCCCAGGAGAGCCCCCAAGCGGACCCAAACTGCTTTTGAGAGGGTCCCCAGAAGCTCCCAGCAGCCCTCAAACAGCTCTCCAAGAGGTATCGCTGAGGGCCGAAGGCCAATAGATATTGTCTTCAGTATGTGGACGGACAGAGCGACGCCGAACGAGCTGAAGAGCCAGAGGGCATTGATTGCATTGTACATAAAACCCTGCAAGCACGCCACATGTAAAGCATATATGCTACGGTCTTCTGACAACGGACGCCGCGGAGTGCAAAGGAGGTGGAGGAGGAGGAGGAGGAGGAGGTGAGGTGCCACTGCTTCCAACGACAGTGATTTGGAAAACTAGCTACCAGGCGCATGTACAAGCCACTTGGTGCGGAGTTGGTGGTCGTCCATTTCTGTTGAAGTTGGCGGAAGCAACGACAGCCGCTTCGGAGTTGGCATCACAGCCGCGACTATCAATACGTGTTGCGTGTCGATGTGCTACCACCTCGTCACCGCCACACTTCCACACGTTGTTACCACGCCGCCACGCCACCACCAGCCCCAACTTCATTCTCAGCCCGCGCCTCACCACCAATCATCGCTATCGAATTCATCACATCACCCGTCCTGCCATCCAACCGTACAGTCGGGGCCCTGAAGAAGGAACCCTTTTCGTTGAGGAGTGGCTCCGCGTTCCTTAATTGTTTCGCAGCTTGCCTCAGGCTTTCCTTAGGTTTTCGATCGGAAATCGAAGGTTAACTTATGGAAAAAAGGGGCCTCGTTCCTTATTTTGGGTTCCTTAGGTCAAGGCCCCGACTGTAATCATCACCGCACGCGTCCCGCTGCATTCTTTCTCGGCCGAAAGCAGGAAACGTTTGCTCTGGCGTGGTCCGATCGCGCCTGCCGTGGCCATGCCGCCGCCAGTGTCCAGCTCCCCGAAGCATTCGTGTGCAAACTACCGTCGGGGCGTTGACCTAAGGAACTCTAAATAAGGAACGAGGCCCCTTTCTCCCACAAGTTGAACTTCGATTTCCCATGGGAAACCTCAGGAAAACCGGAGACAAACTGCAGAACAATCAAGGAACACCGAGCCTCTCCCCAACGAAAAGGGTTCCTTCTTCAGGGCCCCGACTGTACCCGATCTGGGGCAAGCAGCAGTCCCGCCGTCACGGTCTAAAAACAAAAGCTATCACCAACATTTGAACGCACAATCTCCAAGCACATCTTGGTCATCAATGATTTGGGACGTCGCCGTTCGAAGTAAAACAAAAAACAGTTCTTTCGACGGACATCCACCCACATTTGAAACCCGGTGTGCTCAACGTTGGCTTCATAGGCTTGAAACGACAGCTTCGCTAGAGACATCTTTCAAAGTCTGGTTTCGGATCTTTTCAACTGCAGTCGCCAGGTGTGGCGCTACCTCTTGCGCCACACATATGGCAAGGTGTGGCAAGCCTACCTGCGTTCGACTGCGACTCCGCTGTCGTACGTATTTTTCAACAGCCGCATGGTGGTCCTCGCTGTCCTTCTTTTCTTCGATTTCCTCTGCTTCTGCATATCCTTCGTCCTCGTCCTCCTCGGATCCGACTTCATGTTCCTCTTGTCAGTTTCATGCGATGCTTGCGTGCTGCAGATCTGTAGCATGTGCCAGTTGTACCAGTTTGCGAGACCTTGGGCTTGGCATCGCTCGGACGTGTGCATTTTTCCTTCGGCGAGGGCCATCGAGGAGCATCCTTGATCATTTGGCGAAAAAACTACGCACGAAACCCCCCCAAAAAAACAGGAAATGGACGTCCGAGCGATGGCCAGTGAGGCCCAGGGCCCAGGGCAGGACAGTACTTGGTGGGACCGGGAGCCGGGGCCCGTCACAGGAAGTTGTTGAGACGCACCAAGATGTGTCCCAGACGGCCCAAGAGGGTTCGGAGTCGCCGAACAATTTCTCCCAGACGCCCTTGATGGCCTCCAGGTGGCCCAAAACGCCACCAAGACGCCCCACGAGAGCTTTCAGACTGCCCAGAACGCTTGCAGAGGGTTCAAAGTGGCACCCCAGGAGGGCCCCAAGAGGCACAAGTCATGTGTTTTATAAGAGGTTTTTGGTGCTTTTGTTTGTGTGCGCTCGGCTTTTTCGGTTCCCCAGCGTTCGAACACTGCCGCCGAGGCCCCGAGAATCGCCCCGAGGCGGCCCAATCGGCCTCCAGATGGGCGCCTCCACGGCCCAAGAGGCCCCCAAGACGCAAGGGCGCCCTCGAGGGCGCGAAGTTATTCGCGCTTCGCGCTTCGCGGTTCGGCTCCGATTCCTCATCCTCCTCTTCTCCCCTGGGAGGCGGCGCGAGAGCGCGAAGTTATTCGCACTTCGCGCTTCGCGCAGCGCGAAGCGCGAAGCCGGGAGCCCTTGAAGACGGCCCAAGAGACATTCAGGACGGGTTCAGATACCTTCAGGCACCGCCCAACATCGGTCCCAGAGGGGGGAGCACGACCGAAGCTTTCGACCCTTCCGCGCACCGGGACCCCCCCAAGAGGCCCAAACAGGCCCCCATAGGAGACTTTCCAGGAGGCCCCCAGAGGCCTCCAGGAGTCCACGAATTACCCTGGCGACGTACCCAACCCTTGCGCAATGCGGGGCATAAATGCATCAGGATTGCTACAACGGGGGCGATGACGTAACATGGACGCATGTGATTTTGCGAGCAGCAATCGGAAGGCTCGCAGGCCCCCGATCAAGATATAAGGGCTACGTGATAACAAATCACCCCCGTTGGTTGTGCCATGCGCCCGTTGCACCCAACTTATCCCGCAGCAGCTCTTGAGAGCACCCGCGGAATACGTGTAGACGCAAGGTTATGGCCATCGCCCGGCAGATGGTCTGTCTCACAAATCACCCCCGTTGGCTGTGCCACGCGCCCGTTGCGCCGAACGTATCCCGCAGCAGCTCTCCAGAGCCCCCCCGCTCCTTCCCTCGTCTTTGGCTGCCGCTGTCCTGCCAGGCTCGGGTCGCTGGGCGGGCGCCCCCTCCGCCCCTCCCTCCGCCGCGCGCCCCGCGGCTCGCGAGGAGCAGCCGGCATCTCGCGTCTCACCGCCGGGCGCCCGATCTTCGGGCACGGCGCCGAAGCCATCGCCCTCGACGAAGCATCGAAGGGAGTGGCCAGGCTCCTTTCTTAGTCCTAGATCACCAACGGCTGCAGTTCCCTCCGCCGCGCGCCCCGCGGCTCGCGAGGAGCAGCCGGCATCTCGCGTCCACCGCCGGGCGCCCGATCTTCGAGCACGGCGCCGAAGCCATCCCTCGCGAAGCTCGAAGGGAGTGGCCAGGCTCCTGTCTTAGTCCTAGATCACCAACGGCTGCAGTTCCCTCCGCCGCGCGCCCCGCGGCTCGCGAGGAGCAGCCGGCATCTCGCGTCTCACCGCCGGGCGCCCGATCTTCGAGCACGGCGCCGAAGCCATCGCCCTCGACGAAGCATCGAAGGGAGTGGCCAGGCTCCTTTCTTAGTCCTAGATCACCAACGGCTGCAGTTCCCTCCGCCGCGCGCCCCGCGGCTCGCGAGGAGCAGCCGGCATCTCGCGTCTCACCGCCAGCGCCCGATCTTCGAGCACGGCGCCGAAGCCATCGCCCTCGACGAAGCATCGAAGGGAGTGGCCAGGCTCCTGTCTTAGTCCTAGATCACCAACGGCTGCAGTTCCCTCCGCCGCGCGCCCCGCGGCTCGCGAGGAGCAGCCGGCATCTCGCGTCTCACCGCCGGGCGCCCGATCTTCGAGCACGGCGCCGAAGCCATCGCCCTCGATCGCCCTCCTGTCTTAGTCGAAGCCATCGCGAAGGGAGTGAGCACAAGCCATCGCCCTCCTTTCTTAGTCCTAGATCACCAACGGCTGCAGTTCCCTCCGCCGCGCGCCCCGCGGCTCGCGAGGAGCAGCCGGCATCTCGCGTCGCACCGCCGGGCGCCCGATCTTCGAGCACGGCGCCGAAGCCATCGCCCTCGACGAAGCATCGAAGGGAGTGGCCAGGCTCCTGTCTTAGTCCTAGATCACCAACGGCTGCAGTTCGGGCTGCTTGCGCCGCGCCAAACAATGAACAATCTTCGAGCACGGGATCGGCTACAGGATTGGCTTACCCCTGAATCGATTTGCCGGTCGAAAAGTTCTGCGAAGCGCGCGGAGATGGTTCCGCAGATGTGCGAGCAGTCTGCGCACGTTTCGCGGATTCGGCGAGACGAGCAGTTCTGGGGCAAATCAAGCACGCAGTCGATCCACTGTTCGAGATCTGCATCATCTGAGTTGGTTGCGGTTTCGACCACGCCCGGCGCAGTACAAAAACCCCAAAAAACAATCAACCAACAATGACCCAGTGACGTACCCAATTGTTCTATAACACGGGCCAGCTATCTTTGAGAGCCGCTCAATACAAACGAACATGATGAACGACGCGCACTTCGCAGCCCCCCAGGGAGCCGCAAGGTCTGGGCTGGATCCGCGTGGTCCTCCACTCCGCTGGACCTCCCAGGAGCCCACGAAGTGGGTCTCGGCTGTCCGCGTGGACCTCCACTCCGCGGGACCTCCCAGGAGCCCACGAAATGGGCGGTAGTTGCGCGGTTCGCAGCCCCTCAGGGCCCGCGAGGTCTCGGCTGGGTCCGCGTGGACCTCCACTCCGCTGGACCTCCCAGGAGCCCACGAAAATGGCGACGGCTGCGCGGCTCGCAGCCCCGCAGGGAGCAGGGAGCCGCGAGGTCTCGGCAGATCTGCGTGGACCTCCGCTCCGCTGGGCCTTCCAGGGAGCCCACGCAAGCGGCGACGGTTGCGAGGTTCGCAGCCCCGCAGGGCCCGCGAGGTCTCGACGAGGGAGAGGACGACTAAACAAAACAGGAAGGAGAGGGGGGGAAGGAGAGGCGGGGAGGAGGGAGGAGGGAGGCGGGACGAAGGAAGGAGGAGGAGGAGGAGGTGGGGCCCACACTGCGCTATACAAGAGAGGGTTGGGAAAAACTCGCCAAGGGCACCCAGTTCCCAAGACGTCGCAAGTAGGTCGACGAGGGCCATAAGAGTCGCCATAAGAGGGTCCCAAGCCAACTCAAGACAATCGCAAGATAGCCGCCATTGGAGCCCAACAGGGGCCAGGATGATCCCAAGACGGCCCAAGAGAACCGCCTAAGGGGGCCCCGAGAGGAGGTAAGACTGTCCCAAGAGGACCCCGCAACGGCCAGCACCCGCTGGCCCGATTGCTTGTGACCAACTAGAACCTAAGCGTCTGGGGGCGGGTGAAGCGTGAAGCGTGTGCCGAGTAATGCAGATGCCCCGCGCGAGCACGCCCACTGAAGCCGAGGGTGGACCTCCTCTGGGTACGACCCATACGAGGCATGTTCCGAAATGGGCGGGGGGACGCCATGCGAAGCTGCCCATTGGTACCACAGGTGTAGCTCCTTCTGGGGAATAATTGCGTGACGGGTGTGCCGGCATGGGGGGGGCGCTGTACGAACTTTCTATTTAATTTAGGTAGTGTTCTGTTTGTGCGCGATCCGCGTGGTGGGGTGTGCCGCCATGGGCGGGCGGGGCGCAATGCGAATCTTGCCTCTGGGGTCATAGGTGGAGATCCCTGTGGGCCACGATCCAGTGCGAGAGGTGTGCCGAAGTAGGCGGGGGGGCGGCATGCGAACCTTACCTCTGGGACCGTCCGTGGAACTCCTTGCGGGCTACGATGGGTGTGAGAGGTGTGCCGAAGAAAGCCAGGCGATGCTATCAAGCTTCCCTCTGGTGCCGCATATGCAGCTATTTGCTGGGCGTGATCTGCGTGAGGGGCGTGCCACAATGCGAACCTTGTTTCTGGGGACGTAGGTGGAGATCCCTGTGGGGCGCGATCCCTTTGAGAGGTGTACTGGCATTGGCCGGGGAACTCTGAGCCAAACTTGTATTTGGGGCCGTCGGTGGAGCTCCCTGAGCTGCACGATCCGTGTGACACTACGTGTTCTCCGACGCCGAGCACTTTAGACTACAACGAGCACTTGTCAGAACCTAAGCGCGCGAAGCGCGAGTGGTTCTAGTATGTGTATACATAATCACATACGTACTTACATACATACATACATACATACATACATACATACATACATACATACATGCATGCATACATACATACATACATACATACATACATAAATGCATGCATGCATGCATGCATGTATGCATGCATGCATGCATACATACATACAAACATACACACATACATACATACATACATACATGCATATCTATAAGCGCGCGTGGTTCTAGTACATATGTATACGTGTATGCATATATATATATATATACATACGCATGAGTACATACATACATACATACATACATACAGACAGACAGACAGACAGACAGACAGACAGACAGACAGACAGACAGACAGACAGACAGACAGACATACATACATACATACGTGCATGCATACATACATACATACAGACAGACAGACAGACAGACAGACAGACAGACAGACAGACATACACACGTACATGCATACATACATACACACATACACACGTACATGCATACATACATGTATACATACGTACATGCATGCCTTTACACATGCATGCATACGTACATACATGCATGCATACATACAAGCAGACAGACAGGCACACAGACAGACATATACACAGATGGAGCAGAAAGCTGCACAGACCTGAACTTCTGGCGCTCCGCGCGGATGCCTCGGACCGGCGCGGGGGGGGCCCCCCCGGCGCCTCCGGTCGCCACGGCCGGCGCGCTCCGCGCGCGCCCCGGATCCATCGGGGGTGGACAGAACCCCCGACAGCGACACGTCGATTAGTGAATTGTCCGTTTTCGGTTCTCGAGATGGCGCCGTGGCCCTTATTTTCCAGGCCTGCGCCCGCCAGGCTTGGGCCTCGGGCCGTTTTCACGAAACCACGTTTTACGAAAGGGGGGCCTGTCCATCCCCGAATCCAAGAATGCCGCGCGGAGCTCCAGAAGGTTATGTTTACGCCAGCGTTTGTTCATCGATCTGTGAGGGAGACGTAAGACTCAGGACTCAGGGGCAGCGATGGGAGCGGACAGGCACAGGGGGGTATGCATCAACCCCCGGTCGCCCATGGATCGCCGATGGGGGGCCGGACAGACCCAAGCTGCCCAGGAAGGGCCAGATTCGCGATCGGAGGCCTATCGCCGATCTATCGGCGATGTATCGTCGATTCCAGGTCGATGCATCCCCCCCTATGTCAATCCCCCCTATCGTTGCCTCTCAAAGACTCGAGTAAGCCTGAACTCGAGTTTGCCGACGTTTTTTGACGTTTGCCCGGATTTTGACGGTCTTGTGTTCGTGGGATGTCTGCAGCGGGAGTTCGCGTCAAATTTCAGATGGGGTCTCGTCATTTCAATGATGGCCCCGTCAGGCCAACCCGAGTCCCCCTGTGCCCGAGTCTTACGTCGCTCCGAATCTACGCAGCGTTGAACAATCATCCCCACGTCCATGCCTCACGGCTGCTGGTTCGATGTGCTCCTCTTGCGCTACTTCTTGCATCCAGGCCTCCCAGGTGGGGTCGGAATTTGGGGTCGGAGGATCGCACCGCATCGCTGATTCATCGACGACGATGCGGCTCGAGGTGGAGCCTGCTTTTCTCCACGCCGATGGCGCCGAGGCGTCGCCGAGGCGTCGCCGAGGCATCGGCGATGCATCGGCGATGCGGCGAGATCCTCCGACCCCATCTACTCGGACCCCGTCCAGGAGGCCTCTATTTCACGACTCGGGATGACAATCCTCCTCCTCCTCCTCCTCCTCCTCCTCCTCCTCCTCCTCCTCCTCCTCCTCCTCCTCCTCCTCCTCCTCCTCGTCAGTCCCGGGGAAGCTAAGGGGTCCCTGACGACCTCCGGGGGCCCGCGTTGGGAACAAAAGCACGGCGTCGGAGTTCCAGGCCCATGGATCGACATGAAGGACAGGGGTCCTCCTCCTCCTCCTCCTCCTCCTCCTCGTCCTCCTCCCTCCTCCTCCTCCTCGTCCTCCTCCTCTCCTCCTCCTCCTCCTCCTCCTCCTCCTCTTTCCTCCTCCTCCTCCTCCTCCTCCTCCTCCTCCTCCTCCTCCTCCTCCTCCTCCTCTCCCCCTCCCCCTCCCCCACTTCCCCGGGACGGGTTTTTCGTCGTTTTCTCAACGCTCCCGAGGCCCGGCGAAGGCCCCCAGAGGCCGAAGCCTGCCAAAAACCGCCCGCTCTCCATTTTTTTGGGGGGGCGTCGGATCTCAGGGAAGCTGGTCCTGGAGCCCCTGGGGTCCAGGACCCGTTTGCCTCAGAACCTCCTCCTCCTCCTTCTCCTCCACCTCCTCCTCCTCCTCTGGGGAAAGCCCCTGGGGTCCAGGACCCGTTTGCCTCAGAACCTCCTCCTCCTCCTCCTCCTCCTCCTCCTCCTCCTCCTCCTGGGGAAGGCCCCTGGGGTCCAGGACCCGTGTGCCTCAGAACCTCCTCCTCGTCCATGCCACAGCCGGATGCTCCCGGAGAGGCCACGGGCACCCTCCCAGAAAGCTGCCAGCCTCGATCCTCGAACCTCGACGTCGACGACGACGACGTCGACGACGACGACGACGACGACGACGACGACGACGACGACGAAGACGACGACGACGACGACGACGACGACGACGACGACGACGACGACGACGACGACGACGACGACGACCCCCTCCGTCTCCCCGCGTCCTCTGCAGGAGCTCCCAGGCAGGTGCCTGGAGGGGCAGCAGGAGATCTGCCTCGCCAGGTGGGCGCCGCGCTCGCACTGAGGAGGGGCCGAAAAGGGGCGCCCGCCGGGCAGAGGGAAACGGGCGCCGCGCGCCCGCTCGCCGCGCATCCCCCTCCCTCCTCCCTTGGTCCCCTCCTGTCTCCCCCCACGCCCTTTTCCTCCCTCCGCCCTCCCCCCACGTCGTCCCTCCTTCCCCTCCCTGCCCCCCCGCCCTCTCTTCCCCACCGTCCGTCTCCCCCCCCCCTCTCTCCTCCCTCCGCCCTCCCCCCCCCCCCCCCCGTCGTCCCTCCTTCCCCTCCCTGCCCCCTGCCCCCTCTCTTCCCCTCCTCCCCCCCTCGCTCTA